TCTATTCTACTGGAATCCAGGCAGATATACTGCAATGGCATTTTCCCTTCCTCCTACCCCCTCCCACATCCCCCTTCTCCCCCCCCCCACCACTTATGGCATTGCAGCACCCCCCACGGTAACATGATTTACATTCGGATGCTTGTCAACTGACTCGTACTTATGACTGTTGCAGTGTCCCAAAGGTCATGTGATTTCCCCTTTGGAGACCTTCCGACAAGCCAACAGGAAGCCAGAGTCACTTAACAACCGTGTTCTTAACTTAAAAAACTGCAGAGATTCCCTTAGCCCCTGTGTGCACCAGTAAGGTCATAAAATGGGGAAAAACTCACATAAGAAGTTGTCTTCCTTAGCCACAGAAATCTGGGGCTCAATTGTGGTTGTAAGTAGAGGACGATTTCTTCGGCTGGAAAAATGTAGCCCTTGTACCCGCCCCCCAAAAAAGGAAAGTATACCCCAGAGCAGAGAGTGAAACCTGCCCACTCCCTACCCAGGTGATTGCTTTCCACTACAGTTCCCATCATCCTTGACTACAGGCCAACGAAGAGGCAAGAGTGAGGGCTCCAATCATCCCCTTTCCCGGAAAGCTCAGCCTCGCATTCAATCAGGCACCATAAAAGCCGCTCACCATGACATAATGCCGCTGAATTTCTGTCTTCTCCGTGGCCAGTTTCTCGCACTCGAGCTTCAAGCTGTGAAGACAAAAGGAAGACCTACTGATTTGCATCAGCTTCGACCTCCTCCGAAGAAGCAGAGGCGTCCGGATGACCCTCTGGGCCAGAGAGAGACTCCACCCCCCAACCTTTGGGGCAACAGGGACCGGTTCTGTGGAGAGGGGGTTTTCCCGCAGAAAAACGTGGTTTCGTGGGCTACCTGCATCCCTCGGATGGGAACTTGGCTTGTTTGCGTGGCCTAGTTTTTTTGGCATGCCACAGCCTGGTTTTTGGGGGGGCCCTGTGTCAAGCAATAGACCCATAGCAAACAAAACATCCGAGGCAAGTGGATTCCTCAAAGAATAGCTTTATTGGCTATATCCGAAGAATGGAATGGAATGGAATAAGAAATAGCAAATAGAATAGAAAATAATAGAACAGAACAAACAAATAGAATGGAATAGCAAATAGAATAGGAAATAGAAAATGGAACGGAATGGAATAGAATATGGAATAGAAAATAGAAAAGAAAATAATAGAACAGAATAAAAAATGGAATAGAAAAGCGAATGGAATAGAATGGAATGGAATAGAATATGGAACAGAAAATAGAATAAAATAGAAAATAATAGAATAGAAAATAATAGAACAGAATAAAAAATAGAATAGAATAGAATAGAAATGAATAAGAATAGAATAAGAACAGAATAGGAATAGGAATAGGAATAGGAATAGGAATAGAATAGAATAGAATAGAATAGAATAGAATAGAATAGAATAGAATAGAATAGAATAGAATAGAATAGAATATAGAATATAGAATATAGAATATAGAATAGGTGTTGGAAGGGACCTTGGAGGTCTTCTAGTCCAACCCCCTGCTTAGGCAGGAAACCCTACACCACTTCAGACAAATGGTTATCCAATCTCCTCTTAAAAACTTCCATTATTTCCACAAAAACTATTGGCACAGATCTGCCTAAAACCTGAATCCTGCGGGTTTCACCTAATTAAAAGTAAAAGTTTTCCCTCAACCCCAAACCATCGGTCCAATCACGGCGTTGCCTGGTTGCCTGGGGACATCACTCCTCCTTCCTCTGGCCAAGTGTGTGAGAATGCCAGGTGTGGTTCCCAAGAGAAAGTATTTTGTTATGGCTACAAAAACCGCAGCTATCTCTAACTCCCACCTCCCTATCCCTCAGCTCCAGTGCGACAACACTGAATCTCCAAGGTGGCTTCGGCCAGGTCAGCTTCAGGGTTGACACTCTGCTAGAAGGCCCAGTTCATACAACCCCAGCCTAACCATGCACCCCATTCCTGCTAAGTTGCCTTTTCCTTTTTAGAAAACCCCAAAATGACCGTGCCGATCAAAGATATCTTTTTCCCAGGGAAGGAAACCTTCGATGCGGGTTCCCTGTATAAATCATGCAAATACAGACCTGCAATTTGCATAATGTATTCTAGCCCCCTGTCTAGTTTGCATAATCTATTCACAGCTTCAGCAAAAGTGGGCTGCTTTCCCCAAAATCTGCAATAGCGATGGCGCTTACAGACTTACACACCACTTTCACGGGGCTTTTTTTTTTATAGCCCTAAGCAGTTTACAGAGTCAGCCTACGGTTCCACCAACAATCTGGGTCCTCCATTTGACCGACCCCCGGAAGGAGGGAAGGCTGAGACAACCTTGACCCTGGTGAGAATCGAACGGCTGGCAGTCGGTAGAGTTCGCCAGCAAGATTGCACCACCGCTGCAAGCCCTCCCCCTGGTCCCATTTTTGCCACCCTCCTCGCGCTGTCCAGCGACCTCACGCACCATGTGCAGTCATGAGTCCTAGAAACTTGAACAGCTTAAAAACAAAAAGGCATGGCCAGTGGTGGGAATTGAAATTTTTTTAATACCGGTTCTGTGGGCTTGGCTTGATGGGCGTGGCGTGGCTTGGTGGGCATGGCAGGGGAAGGATAATGTAAAATCCCCCCTTCCCTCCTCACCCCACTAACCTGCTTTCCAGCTCCGTTCTCCTCTGCAGGGCAACCAAAGAAGACCCAGCCGATCAGCTGGGACTCAATGGGAGGCAGAGAAGAGATGGGGTTGGCGGGGCCAGTCAGAGGTGGGATTTTCCGGTTCTCCAGACTACTCAAAATTTCCGCTACCGGTTCTCCGGAACTGGTCAGAACCTGCTGAATACCCACCTCTGTAATCAAGGCCCTACGGCTAAACTCTCAATGTCATTCTTATTCAGCCTAATTGGTTTGGTATTTATCATTTCAACCTCTCTTGTAAGCGGCCCAGAGTTGCTCCAGTGGTGAGATGGATGGCATATACAATTAATAAATCAATGAATTAAATCAGGGATCCCTATCCCCCCCCCACCCTTCCCAGGCTGTGGCCCACTACCGGGCCGTGGGCCCTTTGGAACTGGGCTGTGGAAGTGGTCGTTGAGCACGCTTGCAGCTCCCTTTGAACGAGCAGCAGGTTCGTTCAAGGCTCCATTTGCACGCATGCCCACCCTTTACGCAAATGGAGCTGCGCACGCACGCCGTATGCATGAAACCATCCCCATTTCCTCCCCCCCCCCCCCCGGTCTGCAAAGCCACATAATATAAGTCAACACAGGTCTTCCCAGGGATTTTGATATGATTTGGTCCCTCTCTGGCGCAGTGGTTAGAGTGCAGTACTGCAAGACTACTTCTGTGGCCTGCCGGCTGCCTGCAACTGGACAGTTCAAATCTCGCCAGGCTCAAGGTTGACTCAGCCTTCCGTCCTTCCGAGGGGGGGTAAAGCGAGGACCCAGATTGTTGGGGGACAACAGGCCGACTCTGTCAAGCAGGGGTCTCCAACCTTGGCAACTTCCCAGACGTCCACAAGTCTTAAAAGTTGCCAAAGGTTGGAGACCCCTGGCCTGAGGTGTATAGGTAGCCCTTGACTTGCAAACAGTTCATTTAATGACCATTCAAAGTTGTGACGACCCTGAAAAAAAGTGGCTCGGGACCATTTTTCACTCTTACGACCGTTGCAGCATCCCCACAGTCACGGGATCAAAATTCAGACGCTTGGCAACTGACTCGTATTTATGACAGCTGCAGCATCCCTTTTTATGACTTCCTGACAAGCCCCAAAAAAATGGGGAAGCCGGATTTCAATTAACACCCAGTTGTTAAGTTACTAACTTAATTTAGTTCCTACCCATGTTCCCCCCAAAATAAGACCTTGTCTTATACTTTTTTGCCACCAAAAAGGCACCAGGTCTTATTTTCGGGGGAACTAACATCACTTGCGGGCGTCGCCCTCGGCCTCCTTTTCGCTGTCAGAGGCCTTCAGGAACTTCTTCTGAGAGGCCAGCAAGGTTTTCCTGAAGGCCTCTGTAGCAGATAACAGAGCTCCGGATCGATCCACACCTTTGTTATCAGCTCCGGAGGCCTTCAGGAAAGCCTTGCCAGCCTTGCCAGCTGCAGAAGAAACGGGCCAGCCAGGCAGGCGTCGGGTGTGCCAGGCCTAGCTACAACTGTCCAAAAGTAACTAGTAGGGTGGCTGCACCCATCCCGCAATCCCTACCCTAGCTTAATTTTTACTTGTGCACTCTGGAGTGGGCAGGATCTTAATTAGGGCTTATTTTGGGGGGTGGGGCTTATATTGGGTGCACGTGTAAAAACAAGCTAGGACTTACTTTCAGAGTAGGTCGTATTTTGGGGGAAACAGGGCAACTTAAATGACTAACTTAACAACTGCAGCAACGCACTCAACAATTGTGGCAAGGAAGGTCATAAAACGGGCCAAATCCTCTTAGCAACCGTCTTGCTTTTTAGCAACCGAAATTTGGGGGCCCAATTGTGGTCGTTAAGTCGAGGACTACCTGCATCAAGGAAGGCTACAGGCTCTTCGGGTTGCAAAAGGCTCCCTTACCCAGAGAGGCAAAAATCATCCAAACACTTCACGGCAGCCGCGAGGATTAAATCAGGATTTGAAAAGCTGGCTTTGGTATGTACACACACACACAAACACACGCAAACGTTCACCAGGATTATAGGAAGAAGCCATGCCGTCCACCCAGCTGGACGTCCTTTTTTTACCTGTGGTACTGGTTCTGCAAAAACTGGAATTCCTCTTTGATCCGGTCCAGTATCTCGGGGTAGGTCAGTTTCAAAGACTGGGGGGCAGTTGATACGACACTGGCGGCAGCCGCGGCGGCAACAGCTGCGGTGGCCACAGGCGGTGTCTGTAGGTGAGCCTGGGAGGGAGATAAGAGGGCAAAACCCATGACAGAACAAGCATCATGCGCCGGCCCTCGTTCCCCTCCCATGGTGTTGTTCCCTTTGGAAAGAGGCCTGCCTCCCCACTTCCCCCTCCCTCTTTCCCTATGGTGATTCGCTTAACGACCACTGCAATGAAAGCTCAACAATTTGTCTGGTTGTATGATGACTGTTAAGGGACATGGCGGCTCAATGGCTAAGACGCTGAGCTTGTCGATCAGAAAGGTCGGCAGTTCGGCGGTTCGAATCCCTAGCGCCGTGTCACGGAGTGAGCTCCCGTTCCTTGTCCCAGCTTCTGCCAACCTGGCAGTTCGAAACTATGTAAAAATGCAAGTAGGAAAATAGGGACCACTTTGGTGGGAAGGGAACAGCGTTCCGTGCGGCTTTGGCGTTTAGCCATGCCGCCACATGACCACGGAGATGCTTTTGGACAGCGCTGCCTCTTTGGCTTTGTAACAGAGATGAGCACCGCCCGCTAGAGCCGGAAAGGACTAGCACGGATGTGCGAGGGGAACCTTTATGATCTTTAAATGAGTATCATATGCAATTCTTCTGCGAATTGGCCTGTTGCAAACAATGGGTTCGCTTAATGACCTGGATTCACGTAACAATGATGGAGAATTCTGGGAGTTGAAATTCACAAGACTTAAAAAAAAATTGCCGCGGTTTGACACTCCTGGATGAAAGAGTTGCTTGGAGGAAAACTTTTACAAACACAGAAAGACTTGTGGACTTCAACTCCCAGAATTCCTCCTCCAGTCATGTTAGCTCAGGAATTCTGGGAGTTGAAGTCCACAAATCTTAAAGTTCCCAAGGTTGGAGACCCCTGCTGCTCTCGGTGTCTTAGGCCATTCTGCAGCATTCAAATTCGATGCAAAAGGTATTTTTAATTTTGAAGTTCCAATCAGCTTAGAGGTGATTTCCCACACACCAAGCACCACCAAATTTACTGAGTTCATCCCGGCCAGTTAAACAATTGCCATTTTGGTCTTTTTCTAACAAGTCCCAGAAAAGAATTTCAAAGCATTGGAGTTTGCTACTAGAAATGTTTACTCAACAAGGTATATAATAGAGGTAGTCCTCAACTTATACCCACAGTTGGGCCCAAAACTTCTATTACTAACTGAAACATTTGTTAAAAGTTCCAAGGTTGATTCAGCCTTCCATCCTTCTGAGGCGGGTAAAATGAGGACTTTTTTGTCCAAATTGTTGGGGGTAAGAGGCTGACTATGTAAACCGCTTAGAAAGGGCTGTAAAAGCACTGTGAAGCAGTATATAAGTCTGCTGTTGCTAAGTGAATTCTGCCCCAGTTTAGGACCAGATTTGGGCACAGATCTTCATGAAGTTTATCTGTCTATGTCAGAGGCCTCCAAACTTGGCAACTTTAAGACTTGTGGACTTCAATTCCCAGAATTCCTCAGCCAGCTATACTTGGTTGAGGAATTCTGGGAGTTGAAGTCCACAAGTCTTAAAGTTGCCAAGTTTGGGGACCCCTGGTCTATGTGGTCGCTCTGGGTCAACCCTAATTAAATTCACATAATCAATCAATCATCAATCAATCAAAGCAAACTGCAGGTAGTCCTCGACTTACAACTACAACTGAGCCCAACATTCATGTTGCTAAGTGAAACATTTGTTAGGTGAAATTTGCCCCATTTTATGACCTTTCTTGCCACAGTGTGTTAAGCTGAATCACTACCGTTGTTAAATTACTGTAGTAACAGGGTTGTGAAGCAAATCTGGCTTCCCCAGACTCGTCAGATGGTCGCAAAATGGGATCACATGACCCAGGGACACCGCAACCGTCGTAAGTATGCGTCAGTTGCCAAGCACCCGGAATTTTGACCATGTGACCATGGGGATGCTGCCAATAGTCGTAGATGTGAAAAACGGCCATAAAGTCACTTTGTTCAGGGCCGTTGTGACTTTGAACGGTCACTAAATGAACTGTTGTAAGTCAAGGACTACCTGTATTTCAGAAGGCCAAGTCTTCACGAAAGGCTTATTTTTCCTGTCTAAATAAAGTCATCAGTTAAATTTTGATCTCCTTCCCTTCCCCACACCCATTAAAACCACACCCTTAGCCATCAAAAATCAGTGGGATGACTCTGGGCCAATCACCAGGAGATGTGAATTCTAATCCCGCCTTAGGCACAAATGAGGGTTGGATGACTTTGAGTCAATACCAGGAAATGTGAGTTCTAGTCCCACTTTAGCCCTGAAATCACCAGGAGATGTGAGTTCTAGTCCCACCTTAGCCCTGAAATCACCAGATGTGAGTTCTAGTCCTACTTCAGCTCTGAAATCACCAGATGTGAGTTCTAGTCCCACTTTAACCCTGAAATCAGCAGATGTGAATTCTAGTCCCACTTTAGCCCTGAAATCACCAGATGTGAGTTCTAGTCCCACTTTAGCCCTGAAATCACCAGGCGATGTGAGTTCTAGTCCCACTTTACTCTGAAATCACCAGATGTGAGTTCTAGTCCCACTTTAACCCTGAAATCAGCAGATGTGAGTTCTAGTCCCACTTTAGCTCTGAAATCACCAGGAGATGTGAGTTCTAATCCCACCTTAGCCCTGAAAGCCAGCTGGATGATTTGGGGCCAGTCCCTCTGTCTCAGCCTGTCCCACCTGTTATCGCTCTGAGGAAAACAGGAGGAGGAAAGAATATTAGAGATATTCGCTGGCTGGAGTTATTTATAAGAAAAAAAAGTAATAAAGGAGGGACATGAATTAAATAAACAATTTCAAAAAATGATCCCAAGAATCTGAAACACGCCCATCACTGAAACACTGACATTTGGATAAGAATTAAATCGACTTAAAAGGAAAGTATATTTTTAATTTTTTTTTTTGATAGGAGTTGGAAACCTAAAGATTGGAGGTAGAAGGGAAATAAAAAAAAAAAACCAGAGATAACTTACCGGGGGCCGATTTTGGGAGAACATCCTTGTAAATCAACCATAGGTTTGTGATTTTAGGAAGGTCACTACTTGTCTGGTTTTGGGGAAACCACGTTCTGGGGGTAACCTAGGCAGAACAAGACGGTTACATGGTTAAATTGGAAACATCAGTTATCTTATCCTGGTCCCAAGTCAGAAATTATGAGCCTCTCAGCCATGTTAAGATGGGTGAACTACAACTCCCAGAATTCCACCAGCCACCATGCTGGCTGAGGGAATTCTGTCAGTTGAAGTCCACATGTCTTTAAAACTTGCCAAGGTTGAGAAACACTGAATTTTAACACATTTTAAGTACAAACCTATAAGCAAAAAAGCCTTAGCAGTCTAGAAATGGCTGACCAGGTTTTCAAAATGAGCCACGCACTAAGTTATTCCAGCAGTCATAAAATGCGCCGTTATCGGACTGAACAGGGTTGCCTATCGGCACCTTTTTTTTTTTTTTTACACCTAATTTATTTTACACCACATAGTTGCCTCAAAGCAAGACAGGCGGCGAATAAATAAATAAGAAATAAAAGGAACCCACAAGTCATGTACTGGTGATCAGGGTCATCCTTTCGTTTGTGAGGATAACAAGAGATTCATGAGGACTAGCACCTCAGAAAACCTGCCATTCATTTCTCTTCTCCTTTTCAAAGTAGGGGTCCATCACGGTTTATAGCAAGCCCTTCTACACTTCTAACCAAGTTCCATTTGACTCTGGTTTATCCATTGCATTCTCTTCTTTGCAATCATGGCTTAAATCCTGATTTAGGATAGCAATAAGAAAGCCACGGTGGGGGGAAAATGCACTTTAAATCGCTAAAACATGTTCTATTTTTTTTTAAAAAAGCAATAAAACAACCAAAAGAAAATAAGATCCACAGGCCCCAAAATATTACAAGCCCTGGCCTTCAGTAACCTAAATTGTGTCCACTGAGGCCTAGAACAATCACAGGTAGTCCTCGACTTACAACCATCCGTTCAGTAACTAAGCGGGACTGAATAATATGGTTTATGGCCAGTCCTTGCACTTACGACCATGCAGCATCCTGTGTTCACGTGATCGGCACTTGAGACCTTCCCACAAGCAAAGTCAAGGGAAGGGGAAGCCGGGTTCGCTTAACGACTGTCCAATTCATTTAACAACCGCACCGATTTGCTTAACAACCAAGGCAAAAAAAACAAAAAAGCACCTCACAGGATATAAAATCAAGCATGACTCATTTAAACCACCGCCTTGCTTAGCAACATGATTTCTGGTCCCAACTGTGGTCATAAGTCGAGGACTACCTCCAAAGACTGCTGGAAAGCCACTCCGACTGGAGGTTTTTTTTGCCAACACCCCCCCCCCCCATAAAAATCCAAAAATCATCCTCGCTTTGAGAGATGCTGCAAAGCCATCTTGACCCCTCGAAGGCCCTTCAAGGAAGGATATTTGCTGTCTGCTCAAGAAGGAAATTACACGGTGAACAAGGCCGCCTCTGGGCATGTCAAGGGCGTTTCCTCCTCCCCTCCTGCTTCCAATTCCCAAGGCGGCAGACTTCAGGAAGCATAAATTTCCTTTTTAACACATGTGTGACTGGGGGGGGGGGAGGAAAGTAGCCACAACTCAGCCCCCTCCCTTTTGTTTTCTTCCAGGGTCAGGAAGAAAAGAAAAAAAGACCTCCCACCAACACCACCCACCCCACGTGGCTCCTTTCTCTCTTATTTTATTTTTTTATTTTACGTCACACACCATTCCCTCTTTCCAGCTGTTCTTACATGCGCCCCTCGATTAACTTTTAACGTTCTCCCCCCCCTCCCAAGTTATTGCCTGCTTCGCAGGTAAGGATATAAAAATCTCCCAGCTGCAGCCTTTCCTGACTGCACACACACACACAAACACACACCCCTTCCCCAATTCCTTGTATCCTAGCCAGCTTTTATCAGGAAGGATGTACAAAACAACCGAAAATGGCCTTCCTGGCGCATCTAATCAGCCCCAAGGGAAGGAAGGCTCTGTGTGCGTGTGTGTGCATGTGTGTGTCCAAGGTCCCTCAAGCCAGGATTGCCAGCAAAAAACCACAACAAACCCTACGATAAATCAGTTTTAAACTAAATTATTTTCACCGATTTATTGACCGGTGAAGTTGTAGATAGTATTCGACCTACGACCACCATTGAAACGGGAACTTCGCTGCAGTCTAAAGCGAGACCTCACCTGTGGATAAAACAGACAGGCAGCCCTCCACGTACGACCGCAATCGAGCCCCCAAAATTTCTGTTGATGAGTGAGACAGTTCAGTGAGTTTGGCTCCATTTTACGCCTTTTCTTGCCGCCTTTAAGTGAATCACTGCCGTTGTTAGAGGAGTCCCACTCAATGGGGAATCTGACTTTCCCCACTGACTCTGCTTGACAGAAGAACGTGAAAGGGGATCGATCAGGTGAACCCGGGACACGATAACCGTCATAAATATGAGTCAACTGCCAAACGGTCCGAATTTGGATCACAGGACCATGGAGTTGTTACAACTGTCATTAAGTGTGAAACCTGGTCCTAAGTCACCATTTTTCAGTGCCGTTGTACCTTTGAGCGGCCACTAAACCGACTGCTATAAGTCGAGGACTAGCTGTAACCCATGCAAAAACTCCAATTTCAATGAGTTTTGAAATTAAAAAAGATGGAATGCCAAATAGAGATTGGAAAAAAAACCAGATTGGGATTTTTTTTTAATTAAAAAAAAAAACAAACAGCACCAGCAACCTTGCCCACAGCTTAAAAATTTGACTCTAATGAGGCGCGTTGGGCAGATTGGGGAAAAGAAGCAAAAGGGTGGAAGATAGACTGCCTCTGCATCTGGAATCTCCATCTCCCAGGCCAAGACTTCCAACAAATGGGAACTTCACATCTGCAGGTACCTCTTACTCTCCCCCAATTTAGAGAAAAGACATCAATGACTGAAAAGGAAGCGATCGTTCGCACAACTCATAAAATGTCTGAAAGCATAGTGAGCTGCATTCCCACCACAGTCCACCTTTAATGATGATTAATCTTTTTTTGGATGCCGGGCAAACCCGGAACCAATGCATTCTCCCAACAGACTTAAGAAAAGCTCATTTCTCTAAGCAGGCAAAACGTGCAGGCAGTCCTCGACTTACAACAGTTCCTTTAGCAACCGTTCAAAGTTACGACGGCCTTGAAAAAAGCAACTGATGACTGTTTTTTCACACTTACAACTGCTGCAACACCCCCCATGGTCACAAGCCTCCAAAATCCGGCCCACTAACTCATATTCATGACTGTTGCAGTAACTGTGAGAGGGATCTTGGAGTCTTAGTGGACAACCAGCTAAATAGGAGCCAGCAGTGTGCAGCAGCAGCTAAAACAGCCAATGCAATCCTAAATTGCATTAACAGAGGGATACAATCAAGATCAAGGGAGGGACTAATACCACTCTATAAAGCCTTAGTAAGACCACACCTAGAGTACTGCATCCAGTTTTTTTCACCACATTATAAATAAGATGTTGAGACTCTAGAAAAAGTACAAAGAAGAGCAACCAGGATGATGAGTGGACTGGAGGCTAAAACATAGGAAAAACAGTTACAGGAACTGGGCTTGGCTAGTCTAGTGAAGAGAAGGACCAGGGGAGACATGATAGCAGTCTTCCAATATTTGGGGGGCTGCCACAGAGAGGAAGGGGTCGAGCTGTTTTCCAAACACCCGAAGGCCAGACAAGGAATAATGGATGGAAACTGAACAAGAAGAGATTTAACCTAGAAAGAAGGAGAAACTTTCTGACAGTGAGAACAATCAACCCATGGAACAGAAGTTGCCTTTGGAAGTTGTGAGAGCTTCATCACTGGTGGCTTTCAAGAAGAGATTGGACTTTCATTTGTCAGAAATGATGTAGGGTCTCCCTCTTGGGTGGGGGGGTTGGACTAGATGACCTACAAGGTCCCTTCCAACTCTGATTATCTGTTATCTGTCCTGGGGTCACGGGATTCCACTCCTTTTGCAACCTTCTTAGAAGCAAAGTCCATGTGGGCAGTCCAGATTCACTTAACCACCGTATTACCAACTTAACAACTGCAGTGGTTCGCTTAGCAACGGTGGCGAGAAAAGCCACAGAATTCTCTTAAGCAACATTTCACTTAGCAATAGAAATTTGGGGATCAATTATGTTCAGAAGTCCAGAACTACCTGTATTGTGTGTGAATACACCCCAGCCTCCAATCTAACCACGTTGTGTAGACCCCTATTAAAAAAGATTTAATATACCCACTGGGGTCTTTGGTGGCTAGATTAACAACAAGCTTGTTTTCTCCAAAGTTTTTGCAAACTGTTATACAGCATCAAACAAAAAACCTCTCCATTCTCTCCGGATCTTGAATAAAGGACCTTAAAAACTGCCTGCCCCCTCCTTCCCCAACACCCACCCCCACCCATTCAGTCCCTACGGGTGGCAAGCAAGAACTGGCTCTCTTCATTCAGGAGCCATGAAAAAGCACTCTGCACATGTTCCAGGCAGTCTGTCCCTTGTGCCCCGGAAGGCGGGGGGAATTAAAATTAAAATCAAAATATAGGCGCTGGGCGAGATTTCAAGGACTTTAAAAAAGAGCTGCCAGCCCTTTCTCTGCTTCTCAGGGAAACCCGGCTTTAACTGGAGATGGGGGGCAGAAGGCAAAAAACCAGGAGCAAAGTAACATTAATCACAGTTTAATTCGTGAGTATCTGGCGAGGAAGGGGAGCTGCACGAGATCAAACAAGGGGGAGGAGGGGTCGATTTTAACCCCCACATGCCTCTTTGTATTAAGAAAGGAATACGGGCAGGAACAACACACACACACACACACACACACACACCAATTAACAATCACCCCAATTAACAATCGGAATCTCCTCTTTTCCCACCAATAAGGAACTCGCTCTTCTCCGGCTTAGAAAGCCCCCCCCCCCCCCCCCTCCTTTTTTTTTTTTTAAACCAACAAAACCCCCCGCCCAAAACCCCCCCCCCCCCCCCAAAAAAACCCCAAGATTTCTCCCAGCCTAACAATAGTCCGGCCCCAAAGCAACAGCAGCAGGTAGAGAGAGCAGAGTAGATCCGCCAGCAGGAAAGCGATCCACCCTTCCTTCCCTTTCCTAAATCCCCACCATTAAAAGCGCTTGCACCCACCTACCCACCCACCCACTCACTTTCCCCTTTGGAGAGACGGACCCGAAGGAGACGGGGTGTGGGGGGGGGGAGGGGAGACCTCCTCCCCCCGCGCGAGAAAAAAACAACACTCACCCCGGGGCGCAGGGATCGCCCACGCCTCCTCCTTTTGCGGGGAGAAAAAGGAGAGCGTGGGCGGGGTGGCTCCGGGTCAGGGCTGCCCTGCCGTGTTGGTTTGCAAGAGGGAGAAAAAGAGAGAGAGAGAGAGAGAAAAAAAAAAACCCTCCTTTCAACGCCCCTTCTTCCTTTCCTCGCTTTTTCTCCCCTTCTCTCTCTCTCTCTCTCTCTCTTTTTCCTTCCCCTCCTCCTCCCTCCCTCCC